TAATGTCTGTAAGAAAAACTCTTGCATTCGATCAAGTAATTATGGTACTCTTTGTTATACTTATTTGTATAAAATAAGTGTATTTAAATATTTTGTAACATATAGATTCATAAGACTGTGTATTCAGTTATTATAGATATATGTTTTGTATTTTTTACATTTTTCCTATTTTTCATTATTTTAGAAACATGTACATCATAAAAACATTTGATCCATTACATGCATCCCTGAATATGTATGATCATTCAAAATGTTAGGGCACATGAAATCTTTTTCATAGTTATCATTACTCTAATTTATTAAAGTATAGAGTTTTGAGTAAGTAATAATATAACTTATGTAATCATAATTATGTAATCATACTTAAGTAATCATACTTAAGTAATCATATATACTTGTACATAAATGTTAAGTGATTATTTATTTGTCACCAGCTTAATATTTGTGTATTTTGTGCAGTTTATGTATTATTTACCAAAAACTAATGTTATGAAATCTTCTTCAATGTAGCATATATATGCGACATAATTAAATAATCACGAAACGAAACATTTGAATTATATTTTATTAGTATTACAACTGATCGAAAATAAATGCATTAAATTTACCAGAAGTTATTTTTGTTGGTTTATGTCGTTCTGAACTAATGAAATTCGAATACTGTATCAACTGCGTAATATTCAAAATTATTTACTGTAATCTTAACGTTACTCTATCAAACACATTTCAAGTGCGGTCTCTGGCGACCCCGAACAAAAAATGTTTATAAGGACGTACACCGTATACATACGAAGTATACGAATATATTGCTTTCCAGAATATCATTCAAAATTAATGTAACTTTGGATAATCTTGTTTTAAATATATATTTAATGCACTATACAAATCAGTTTTTGTTATTTTTATTCAAAAATGAACTTGTGACGCCTAAATATAAGTGAAAAGCACTCAAAGTAATAATCAGAGGGTTAGGATTTAGAGAAAATAAAACTTACCCCATACATGCATCTTCGATACGCAATAGTCATCGTTAAACCAGATTTTGACATAATCTATAATTTATAAAAATAATAACAGTTAATACAACAATGCCATTAATACACGTGTATGTACCCTCGTGAACAAACTCGCGGCTTCCGTTAGGGGAACAAGTGATATGAGGAACAAACCTTCGACGTGGTTTCAGAGTTACTGAAATTTATGCCAAATTAACATTCGGTTTAACATTTATTTAAGTATTTAAAATAAATTTATCAAGCGGTAGGAGGCCCTTTCCAGACCACACTTATTTCCCTAACGAAAGCCGCGTTTGCACGTTAGTGTACATTTAACCATTATGATTAGATTGCGGAATTTATACATTTATCGTAAGTGTGAATATGTAGAACACAAAACAGTTAAAATTTTCGAAAGGTTAAGTATAAATTCTACTTTAATGTGGACCCAACGAAACTTTGAATACAGGAAAGAGACCATTCGCGTAATTTCAGTTCAGCAAATTAATCCACAAAAATCTGAATTTGCATAAAAATCCGCAGTCTAATTATGACAAATATAAGATTACCTATAATAACAGAAATATGTACATGGTACTGAAGACAAGACAATAGAACTATGGAATACCTGGAAACTACCGCACTTATCACTCACCACGTGGAAAACATAATGGCATCTGCGATTCTGCAAAGCGCGTCACGAGCACCGGCTTTTATCCCCACTCCTTTGTTGTGTACGTTCCAGCAATGTAATTGGCCCTTTCTTAGAGTTCTTTCGCTATCCTTTGACATAGGTAGGCATATTCAAAATTGAATCGACTCGTGACTGCTTTCACGATGAACAATTGTATTTACTATGAATGTTATTAATAGTTATTTGAGAGATAAAAATTACAGAAACTAGATGTTTTTGTCTAAACTAACAAGTTAGTAATATTTTGTACATTTTTCTTATTAATTTCTGTTTTGTTTCTTCACGAATTTGTTACTATCAATTTTGGACCACTGTAAAGAATACCGAGTATAAGTTCCTTGAAGTTTACATATTGAAATCTCAGTTTGACTACTTCAACTCATACATATACATGGTTGTAAAATTTTACAATGTTTTAGCTAATAATATTAGATTCCGATTTTTTTAATTGGTTCTGGTATAATAATTTCCTCCATAGGTAAACGAGCCGCGATGTCACCTTTTCCAGATTAGAATAACCCGTTCTCCAAAATCAAAGCCACGAATTGTACATGTAAATCGACTGGCACGGTTTAATTCACGTGAAAATATACATCGAATATGATAAGAGAAAACTTATTTCAACAGAGGAAAAGAAGGAAGAAGAATCAACGGATGAGAAGGATAATAGTGAACAGTGATGAAGTAAATCGAGGCAATTCCTTTTGGAAATGTGTTTATTTTTTCAGAATATCTAAATATATCACATGTACGATTTTCAATTGCAAGGTGTTGCAGCGAAAGAATTAAATGATTATCTTTAGAAAAAAAATCAGGTACTCGTCAAATTACAATAAAGAAGTTATACAATATATTCTACTTGTTGACACTATGATGGATTATAGCATCTACCTATTAAAACTGACGAAGGTACAACTCCTCAAGTACAACCTTCACTGTTTAATTAACTTGTGCCAGTTTGTGGTACTCGTCGAGCTAAACGGTCTTGTATCCCCTTTTCAGCGTAAAGATTAATAATTTACGAGATATTAACAATTAAAGTTCACTGATGTGTAATATATCTTATATATTTTCTTAAATTTCAATTCGACCTGCGAATAAAAGAACAAATAAAGTACAAATCAAAGAATTTTATTGTAAGCGAACGGAGTAAGTATGTATCCCTCTTTTCCCTCTGCGATTCCCGTAATCGTCACGTCAGCTCTGCACAGTATCAACTGCAATCTTCGAAGGCTTTACTATTGCGCCAAAGAGGTTATTGAAATCATCGCTACGTCACTGATAGGTAAGCACGCACTGCACATGAACAACCTTTAATTGTTACTATCTGGTGAACTACATATTAAACGCCTACACCCAGAAGAGGGCATGGGTGTGTTCAGTTTAACAAGTACTACAAACCAGGGATTTCTACTGAAACGTAAAATACCGGTATTATGCCGGTATTTTCGGTTGTACCTGCGTCCTATATCACTCTATATAAGCTCTACCCTTACAGAAATAAAAAAATACCGGTATTTATTTCGGTTTTCAGTAATATATCGGTTTCGGTATAGCTTTAATGGTATAATGCATTAAGCCCCTGCTACAACTGACAAAAGCTGATTAAAAAGTGAGTGGTTACACTTGGAAGGAGTTATATTCGTGAGTAGTTGAGGTAACTGTTAATGTTATATGTTATGTTTTATGCTAAACGAATGTATTATAATATTAAGATTAACCGTATTAACAAATTTAGAAATTATAATTGTCTACGTTTAAATATAAAAGGTTTACATTACAGATTTCATGTAAATGAAAAACGAAAAAACCTAAATGATTATACTGCACTAACAGATACTGTCGGATCAAGTAAAAGCAATAATGAAATGAGTACATAGTACAATATGTTTAGTATAATTTGAGTTAACACTACTTAACATAAGACAAGTGTTATTATACAAGTTAAAGCTGTAACACTTTGTCAGAGTATATTTAAATACCAAATAACATTATTTGCGAATATAATAACATTTATTTTGCGCAGATATTTTTAACCAAAATATAAACACGTTTCTTATGTAATATTGAAGATGTAGGTACATCTTGATAGTATGTACATTTCTTTACCCAATTTTTAACAAGAATGTAACAATGCCGAATGCTCTTTCGTTCTCTGAGTCAAAAATAATTAGTATAATCGATACCAGCGTTCTGTCTTATAAAAACTGAAACTGGGATGAATTGTCATCCCCCAAAACAGAATCGGACGATATGTTTTTTGGCACCTATTATTTTCAGCCATTATGTTCAGATTGCCAGACTCAGAAAGAGTCTTCTGTTTATAATAGGAGGGTTACAGTTCATAACTTAGTTACTCGTACAAAAGATCTGGTTCGCACAGAAAAAGAAAAGAATTCCCAAGATTGTGTATTTGTATACCAACTACTAATGATTTTAGAATTAGTAATATTCAAGTAAAAAATACTTTCATTCGAATCAGTTATAATTATAAATCGAAGTATTTATTAACACATTCATCGCTCAGCCTATTTCGGTAGACTTTCCGTTCACACCGATTGTATGATAACTACGTGGCAACATTTCTGCTTTATTATGGTTTACACTATTTTTCATGAAAGTCTGAATACAGTAGACTTTCGTTTAATGTAAGCCCCTTTATTGCATCTTGGAAACGCCCCTCGTTTACACATATTTCTCACAGCATGCGCACACTCCACTCTGTCGTGCAGCAAGGAAGGAGTGGAATACATACGGTGTCACGCATGTTTAACTCGCATATTTTTCATCACAGAAAGGGCGCTGTATACAGAGTGAGTCACCTAACAATTGCACCTCAAATATCTTTGTTATTTTTAAAGATACGTCAAATGTCTTAAGGACAAAGTTGAATGGTTCAATGGGGTTCACACGATACCAACAAAAAATGTAATTTCTGTCATTATTTTTTAGAGATATCAAGGTCACCTTAATTGTTTTAAATGGAATCACCCTTTTTTAAACACCTACAATGATAGTCCTTTTCATTAGGAATTCAATGACTATAATTATTCAACGTCATTCAAGGACACGAAAAAAAGGGTGATTTCATTTTAAAAAATGAAGGTGACCTTGATATCTCTAAAAAAAATGACATAAAATCAAAATTTTATTTGGTATCGTGTATACCCCATTGAACCATTCAAATTTGTCCTTCAGGCATTTGACGCATCTTTAAAAACAATAAAGATATTTGAGGTGCAAACGTTAGATGACTCACCCTTTATAATATTGTTTTAATGAAACGTTTCAATACTCAATAACTTCCGTGAATAAACTTTTTAATATTTATAAAAATAACGGAGATAGTAACACCCTATATTTAGCTATGTCGAACAAGTGAACGGACGGGAAAAGCGCGTGTGTGATTGGCCTTCGTTTATTGTATCATTCCTGGAAATTTGACTCTCTACAGCCCCGAAATATGTAATAAACGAATATCGTCTACTATATCTCACAGCGCTACTGTTACGACATAGCTCCCCCTTGCACTGGATCCCTCAACTGACATTACGAAGATCATTATGTTTGTTACAATTCTTATATTCTACAAATACTACCAAGGACGCCACATATGATCCTGTTTATCAACGCGTTCTACGTCAATTTCTTCTTCATCCTCGACCTTGAATTTTACTTTGACCTTATCTGATGCGTGTTCATATCTCAAATCTTTCACATGAGCAACACAATTTGAGGTTAGTTCCTCACTATTGTTAACACTCATCACTGAGTTACATTGAACCAGAATATTAGTCGTGACTACGTTATTGCTGGTTTCGCAATTGGTTACTGTGCTTTGATTAGAAGATGTCACCCTGGTGTCCTGAATTGCAGCATTTCCAAGGAAAGATCCTGTGAGAAGGGGAAGCGTATTGGTTTTCAACTGAAACAAACGTGGAAACATGTTTTGAAGAAACTATAAATATTTTACAAGTAAAATGGTCGATTTATTGAAACATTAAAATTAAAAGAAATAAAAGAAATTATCAGTATTTACCACCCCTGATAAAAAGTACATTTCATCTACTTATGTATATAATAAAAATATAAAATATTATGAAACGCGTAATAAAGGAATAAAATAGAAGCATTAACCGTACAGCGGAACCTCTGTAATTCGAATGTCAAAGAAAGAGTAAAAATCTTTTGGTTGTGGAGGTTTGGTCTTATCGAAGTTTTCGAGCAAGAAAGCTTTAACAAACAAAAGTTCGACTTACAGAGGCTTCATACAAGGGTTAATATTCATCAACTTGTAGAGGCTTAAAGGAAGATAAATTCAACTTTTGGAGGTCAATTATTTATTGTATACCTATAAATATGTATTCAATATGTAGAAATGTAATTATAAGACGAATTTTAAACAAAACATAAATAATAGTTTGCTTTTTATGGACCTAGGCTATTTTCGTGTTATTATTAAGAAAGTCTGTAATTATACTTTGTGTTAATTGTTAGTTTATTGTAAATCAATAGCATTTTCAACTATGACCAACGCAGTGAATATATTTTTGTATAATATTGATTCAATTCCTTACAGTTCGTTGTTTGTTTATTTTACGTTTGGTTCTGCGGATCTGTTTTTGTAAGTATTTGTTAGGAGGCAAAGGTATGTACGTATATTTTATTTTCAGGCACCGAGAGCATATGCCGCGACTAGCGACTACCATGTTCTACGCTTGCAGTTTTGCAGGTGTATTGTATAGGTTTCAGGCGTGACTGAACGATTTGTAATTGTTTAAAATTTGAAAACGGAGCCTCTAATTTAATTTCGTCACTCTTGATTTTCATCTAATTTTATCAAATAGAATCTGTTAGAATGTGTCGTCACTTCTCATTATACTTATGTATACAGGGTGTTCGACAACTAGTGGGAAAAAATTTAGGGGTGATTCTTTGAGGCAAAATAAGACGAAAATGAAGAATAACGAAATTGCGAAAAATGCTTCGTTTGTTAGTTATAAGCGTTTAAGAATTGACTCAAATGATGGCAATCCGCGCGCACGGAGTATCAGCGGATCACGGCTTGTCAGGGGCGTACAGTCACTTTAACCCCTTGTTCTATAACAATGAGTGAGACTCGTGGTAAGAAATTTGGGCCAAAAACAATAAGCACGAGCCTGTGTATCCGCAAAAAAATAATATGCAATTAACATGGATCATACAAAACGTATAATGATATTAGAATGAAACTAAGATGAAATTTGCCGCACCTGCACTATGATGCATGAAGAAACTACATAAAATAAAATAAAGGAAATTGTTGAACACATACATTCTGTGTAATATGAACCATTTCTAACATGGTATTTGCATTCGGCGTTGAAAGTTCTATTTATAAGTTAATGTCAAGAGGGTCGGCCGAAAACACAATGGACAAGGTCTTCGTCGATGGCAGCAACACGTTGCAGGCAATCCGCGGGTGGTCGTACTGCAGAAGACAAGAGACAGTTTTATAATATCCAGACACGCACACCCTCGGCATTGTGGCCAAGTGGCCCCGAATGGTGTATGAGAAAAAAATACAGATGTTGTTCTAAGAACATACGAAAAGAAACGCGACCTCCAAGACACTTTCCCATGCAGCTCATCCTTCCCAAAAAGTATTGACCATGAAAAAGTGGGGATCAACCTATTACGCCACATCGATCCTAACGAGGGAGGATCAGTTCAACAATATCAGTTGTCCCTTCTGAATTGTACCCTTTGCATTCTACGAGCAAATAAAATTCATGTTCGGAAAACTAAGTTTTAGTTTATTTAGCGATTATTACATAGTGATTATTTAGTAGTGTCGCGTACGTCATCGTTATAAATAGTGCAAATTAATTATTGTAAGTTTTATTAAGTAGTTTAGATTTTATTAATTATTGTAGGTTTTATTAATTATTGCATGTTAAAAATTAGTATAAATAGATGTTATAAATTAATTAGAGTAGGTGAAAAATTAGTGTTAAATAGTTATAAATTAATTATTTTCAGTGTTAGGTTTGTGTAACGTGTAGAGTGTTAAACCCAACGGAGGAACTGTTCGCGGGTGTAATTACTCGCGCAGTGTTGGAACATTTGTCGCGGTCGGAACAATCGCGCAGTGCATATGGACATTTTTCGCGGATTTCTGTGGTGTAAACCCTTGGATACCAAAATGGAATACAGCTTCCAGGAATTTGAAGATATTCATTTTATTTATAGGAGCGCAAATGGAAATGCCTCAAGAGCACAACGGATTTACAGAGACAGGTTCCCCAACAGAACCGTACCAAACGTGAAAACCTTTACCAGAGTGGCCAACGTTTGCGAAATCACGGGATGTTTATTCCACGAAAAACCGGCGGATACAATCAACGCGACGCAGATTTGGAAGAACGGGTACTGCAACACATTGAAAGAAATCCACGCACGAGCACCAGAACCATTTTGCAGTTCAAGAAAGGGTAAGCAACAACACTGTGTGGCGAATATTCATGTTTCGATTGTTTTTTTTGTTTTTCATTGTTTTCGAACGGTATCCTTTGCATTCTGTGAGCAAATAAAGTTCATGTTCGGTAAACTAAGTTTTAGTTTATTTAGCAATTACGTAGTGATTATTTAGTAGTATCGCGTACGTCGTCGTTATAAATAGTGCAAATTAATTATTGTAGGTTTTATTAAATAGTGTAGGCTTTATTAATTATAGCGTGTTAAAAATTAGTATACATAGTTGTTATAAATTAATTAGTGTAGGTTAAAAATTAGTGTTAAATAGTTATAAATTAATTATTTTGAGTGTTAGTTTTGTGTAACGTGTAGAGTGTCAAACCCAACGGAGGAACCGCTCGCGGGTCTAATTAATCGCGCAGTGTGTGAACATTTTTCGCGGTTGGGACAATCGCGCAGTGTGTGTGGACAGTTTTTGCGGACGGGACAATCGCTCAGTGTGTGTGGTCAGTTTTCGCGGACTTCTGTGGTGTACGTGCATGTGCGGATTAATTTCATGGATACTCGTGGACAGGACAATTGTTATACGCGACAACTAGAGGGGGCATTAACCCTCTCTACTCGATAATATTCATAAGAAGATATTTACGTTTCTTACGAATTTTATCGAGTAATAAGAGTTAATGCGATACAAGTGGATTCGACTCAAATACCGCGGGCACAAATTATCGACATCTTCTACGCGGTAAGTAGACAGCTGTTCTACTGACTTTTCTTGCACAACGTTGAGTCTTTAAAGTGATTGTATGCCCCTGACGAGCCGTGATCCGCTGACACTCCGTGCGCGCGGATTACCACCATTTGGGTCAATTTTTAAACGCTTATAACTAACAAACGAAGCATTTTCCACAATTTCGTTATTCTTGATTTTCGTCTTATTTTGCCTGAAAGAATCACCCCTTATATTTTTTCCCACTAGTACACCCGAATCGATCACCCTGTATTTATGTGTACAAGGAGTCCTATCTTGGGTGAGCACTTTAAATTGCTCACTTGTTTATGATGATAGAGAAAAATTGGAGAAAAAATTATTATTTGGTTGAGGGGGGCAAATATTGTGATAGGCAAGGACATTTTCTGAAGTTCATATTTTTCGAAACATCAAGATCATCGTTATTTTTTCAAATGGGACTACGCATTTTTATAATCGTGGCGTAAGACCAATCCAACGACTTATAATGATATGACCCTGACATGACCTTGAGGTTGAAGAATGCATAAATGTATGGGAGTAGATTTAAATAAGACAATAACTACGATAGTGGGATTGCTGCAGACAATTTGTTTTCACAAATGCTTAAAGTAAGGTGACCAGATTTATTTAAGGTCATACATTTTTGGAAGCACCATTTTTTTACCAGCTAATAGCGCTATCTAGTATGAACTAGAGGGAACAGTAACTTTGTACCTCTGAGAAAATGTCAAAATGCTGGACAAACAACTCAAATGCGGGACAGTCCTGCCTAATCCGGGACGTCTGGTCACTTTAGCTTAAAATAATGTCTTCTTCTCTTTACAGTGTTTTGTGGATTTTTCGTACTTAAGATCATATCAAGGTTATACTATGTATTATAGATTGTTGGATATATGTATATGTATATAAGGTGATTGGATTGGTCTAGACCTCAACTATTGCGCCACATTGATAAAAATATACAGTCCCATTTAAAAGAAAATCAAATGACCCTGATAAATGTGACGATGATAAATGACGACCCTGATAAATGTGATTCGAAACATGTGACCTTGAGAAAAATGTTTGCTTATCACAGTATTTACCCCTTCTAACCGAATAATATTTTTATATCACATTTTTTTCTATCTTCGAAAGCAAGTAAGATATTATGTAGTAAGTATTGAGTAGTTTTATGTTCACTGTATATACATACATAAACTTAATATAATGTTCGTTGTATATATTATATTATTGTCTTTTCAGTTCTTTTATGTCACTGATTGTTAATACATATTTATATCAGCAAATGCGTTCTTCATTGAACTATTTATATTTATGTAACAGATGCATCCTTTGAATGTAGTCTCAGCTGTTGCTAAATACTGTACGTTTTGATACGAAATATGAAATTGGTAAGTTTAAGATTTTAAGGTGTTAGAAATAATCTTCTTTACATTAATTTCCCATAGTTGGAAGTTACAGATGTTAATAAGTACGCAATCGAATCCTTCCTCTACTGCGGGCGTATGTATACCCTTGCCTCGAAACGCTCCTTTCTAGCTTTCAGTTATTGATGCAGAATGTATTCATTTGAAAATGTACCAATAATTTTTAATTCACGAGCACCTTTACCCTAAATTCATGAAATTTCTTAAAAACATTGAAATTTACTAAATTACATGCAAGCTGTTGGCTCGGAATACCTCCCAACGGTGACACATCGGCCCCAAATTCCACCGTAGTGACGGTTAAAAGAAAACATAAATCGCTACTGAACGAGTTCTCAACCATGGGCGTAGCCAGTGGTGGAGCAGGGGGGGCATTTGCCCCCTTCCCTGGACGGAAAAAAGCGGCTTTTGCCCCACCCTACAAGGAAAAAAATTGGATTTTTCCTCCCCCTCCCTTCCCATAGTTACAAAATTTTTGCATAATATTTAATATTCCAATATAATTTAAAACACGTCCAAAAGCCTCTATTAACAAAACACATACGTTTTCAACGATTTATGACTTTAAAAACAAAATAATGTGTGTCTGGCTACGTACGGCCTTTTTCACTGTGGCAGTCGATGTGTTAATATTTTTGCCTCCCCCTGACTGATAACCTGGCTACGCCCATGTCCCCAACTACTGTTTATCACGTGCATATAATAAAAATAATCTTATGATTTCGTTAATTTTGTGCATTTTAACATAAAATTGTGAAAGAATATTCTCTAAACGTCAAACATTTACACAAGTCAAAATGTTTTCAATAAATACCGATCCTTTTGCCCACAAAAACTGGAAAGACTTCATAACACACTTCATGTAGAATAAATTCGATTCCGAATAATTTAATAAAACCCCTAGTCGGTGAAGTGTGCGACGAGTTTATCTCTGCTCGTCGAAGAACTTTCGCTTGATTGTTTCGTGATCTGATTATCGATGAAAAAATAATTACCGGTGAACTCGTTGGCCGGCCCTTTTGAAGACCAGCTGCCAGATACCGTGCTAACCTTTCCGCACCTTCACCTGGAAGTGCCGAGAGAAATCTGTAGGCTTCAGCTGCGCAGCGACCAAAACCAGACAGCCACCGACTTTCGGCAGAAATCTCATCATTCTTGGTGGCCGCGCCCGACAATCCGGAAGATTGCAAACCCTGGAGTCTTTGTAAATGACGAACCGTCAGTTCCAGAATGTCCGCTTTCTCCAGCTTGCTGATGTCTTCCCCTTCCGTCTGGAATTAATAAATATTTTTGACTCCGTTAACATGCTACAAGGACATATGCTGTTCGGTTAGCCCTGCGAAGGAAATAATAGCAGATAGGGTAAGTGTGGGTATTACTGCGGATGCCCCGATTACTGTGGACATTTATAAAACGAATAATATTTAATGTTGGAAAGTATATAAACTCTTGAAGATTAATGATAAAATTATTTTGTTGTTATTAATTCTTTTATCGTAGACTGAAATTCGTCAAGACGAAACTTTGATCGATTTTACAATATGACGGTTCTGAACGCCTACTTAAAAAACATTTATATCTTTGTTAGAGTTTATTTTTAATTTTTAATTTTTATTTTTCACCGCAGTATTAGGTGCAGTACTTTACATCACGTGCGTTTATTACTGTGCACAGGTGACAGCGTAATCTAACCTATTTTCGACCGCATTTACTCATTTAAAAAATAAAGCTACAGAATTAATGTTATTGGAAAAAAAATCAGAATCAACAAATTTTGAGTTTCCTTTGAAAAGTTTATTATTATTTTTTTTTATTATTAATATTCATATTGTAACAAGTAGACTGCGGATCTTTATGCAAAATGACATTTTCTAAAGTAATTTATAAAGGTAAGAGCAAACAAGAATTTCTTTCCGCTCTTAAGTAGTTTATTGAGTTCGAAATAAAATAGAAAACTCCTTACATCCAATGAAAGTTGTCTTTTATTGTATTTCACAGAGTGCATAAAATATAGTTGCATAAGATTCGCAGTCTAGTAATAAGGCTATACTATAAATATCTAATAAATTAATACTTTCTGTCTTGTATATTATATCACTTCCTTCTTATAAATAAAATTAAATAATTTTTCTATTTACAGAATATAGGTATTTATACTAATATTTTGCTTAATACAAGTTGCCAGTAATATACGCGCAGTAATAGGTATTTCGTTAGTGCTTGGCACACAGTAATACATGCTAGTCCGCAGTAATTCCTGCAATGAGATGTGGTTTTAATTTTTTTGATTTCTATTATATCTATCCGTTTATTAGGTACCCTGTTCTCATTTTTTTATGGAATTAATGTCATCCAGCTTTCTTTAAAAACAAGAAGCAGGAATTTTCATTTATTTGAACGCTTTATCGAGCACTCTAAAGTTAACCTATCCCTAAAGTCCGCAGTAATACCCACATTTACCCTAGAGTGCAATTCCAAACATTTTGCAAAACACACGTCACGAGTATAATAACACTGCAGTTGGACATTGCATAGATAAGGTTCAAATGTAAGATCTGTCGTGGTTAAAGTTTCAGAAAAAAATTTAAATCTTCATACATTTTAAAAAAAACATACGTATCTTGACATTTATGACACAGAAAATTGTTTATGTTAAATGAACGTTGAAACTTTCAAACTCTGTTTTCTGTGATAAAACGTATAAGGACAATGTACCTATTTCTAATCATGTAAGAGTTTTGCTATCGCAGAAATTGATTTTTATTATTTTTCTGCATTAATTTAATAGCTAATGTATACTACTATTAGACTTAACGTACTCAAATAAAATTAAGTTTATTATTTTAACCTGAGTGAACAGTATTATACTCCAAAACAAAGGCTCTGATAAAACATTCTGTTATTTTTGTGTCTCTTGTTTGGTTTGTTTTTAATTGTTTTTATTTTCATATTAATCCGAGATGTAGTAGTTTACATTATTTATTATCTCTTTGAAGATAGGTATTCGTCACTTTTTTCATATATTAATTGTTTGTGTTAATAAGTAATCCACTGCTCATTAAAAAATCAATATTCAATGTCGTGTTCTCACGTTGACTGAGCATTATGAAATATTTCCTAATAGAAGATTATTAATTTGATAATATCTCAGTAATTATTAATTTTAAGCCCTCTTCGATATACTACTTTTTTTACACAGAATGTGGTGCTTTATTCAAATTCGGGACAAAATATTGGACATTCCATTTAAAAAACTGCAGGTGACTCTCATATCTCGGTAAAAAAGCAAAGTAACAAAAAACAAATTACAGCACTGTATGTTTTCCTGGAAACTATAAAAATTCGTTTGTACAACAAATAACTTATGAGTTATTTGAAGTCGTCACGTTACGAGACTCACCCTGTTTAGTCCAATGTCCGAGACTTGAGTTTCAGTTACAAACAGACTGCAAACATTTATGTAACTTTAAACTATGAATAACAGAAATGAATCAGAAATTTATATTCCTTCCTCCAGATTTCGTCCATTTAAAAATAAGGCAAAAATGTGTTGAATCTTCACTTGCGTTTACATATTTTTGTGTAATAACTTTATACGTTACAAACGCATAATATCGACATTCTAATTACGACAATACTATCGATATTCTAAATTTTGTGGTCTCGTCGGAGGTATTAATGCAATGGGAACGATCTAAATGATAACGAGCGGCCCCGTAATTGCAGCCTAGTCGTGTGTTTACTTGACACTTTCGTAGAAGTTCCCACGCTCTAGGCATATTTAAGCAGAGAATCGATTGCACGCGTAGTTGCAGCTGGAGAATGCATTTCCTGTTGCGAGTAATTCATAAAATTACAGGGGGAAACGTGGTATCGTGCGGTCTGTAAGTCGAGCAAGAAACCGTGGCTTCCTTTAAAGGTCTTTACACTGTATCGAAGAAATCATAGCACGTGTTCGCACGGTCGATGTACTGTTGTATCAGTTATGTTATTATTAGGAGCAAACACATTTAGTTATAACTTACACAGAAATTCGAAACTGTAGGTTTAATATTAAGTTAATATGAACTTGAGTGATTCAACTGGGATATACAGGTTGTCCCACCTAACCCCGCCACCCTTAATTATTCTCTTATTTGTTACGATACAAAAAAATGGTCCGAGAGAAAGTTAGTGTATTTTAGGGGGGAAATTAGACTATGAGGTTGAAGGTCATCTCAAGGTCATATCTTTTGAGATTTCTCTAATGGTAACGTTTTTTTTAAGTGTACGTATCCAACAATGTATCACACTATGACCTTGAAATGACCTTGGGTTGAAAATTTCACGATCGTGATTTAACTTCATTCACGACCGTGATTGCGATTTTTTTATCTTGAGTGAATCTGCTCACTGCAATTGTAAGTCTTTAACAGAAGAACGTATTCAATATAATTTTACGATGAATTACATTACTAGTTGTGTTTTTAAAAGTCACTAGAAACAACAAGAAATTCTAAAAGAATGTTTTACTAGGTAAATGTAGATTATAATTTATAATCATTAATTTATCCATTATTCTTCATTGTTTCTAATTATTCCTTCACTTTAAACGATATAACTCGAATTTTTGTTTCGATGTCGTTAATATAAAATATACAGGTTATGAGTCGCGTCTAAAGAACTGTTATGTTTCTCCACCAATCAGAAACGATCATGAAAAATCATGAATTACTGTGAAAAATCAACGTGATTGGGAACGAACGTGATCGAATCACTCGTGAGTCACAAGTAGCAGTTCCAGCCATCTCTAAAGCTCGCAGAAAATAAATTGCAGAAACAGAATAAAAGCCATCATCGCATTATTTATTATATAAGTGTATGTTGAAAGCGTTGTCATCCCACAGTGTGATACATCGCTGGATACGTTATGATCTCCTCTTTGTAATGACAATCAAAAAAATAGGGCATTTCATTTAAAAAAACGTTACCATTAGAGAAATTTTCGAAGATATGACCTTAAGATGACTTTCACTTTCATAGCCTAATTTCCCCCCTAAAATGCACTAAAACTTTCTCCCGAACCATTTTTTTGTACCGTGACAAATAAGAGAATAATTAAGTGGCAGAGTTAGGTGGGATATCCTATATATGAATTGCATAATCCATTCAGGAAATATTCTTGGATATTGTGGGGAAAAAATCAGAAGAAAAGTAAATGCTATTGTGGAAAAGAATGTGGGATTTACTAATTGTAAGTTACCAAACATTTCAAGAATTTTAACTAACGAGGGCGTGCAAGGACCGATAATTGTGCCAGAACGTTGCTGGAATAAGTACGCACCGATTACTTCGTGTGATGTAGAGCGGTCGTTCTCCGCATTCAAAGTAATTTTGACAGACAAGCCTCACCAATTGACAACAAATTTAGAAAAAATGGTTACAATTTACTGTAACGCGAACTACAATCTACTAGAATGATTGTGAAAAATATTGTTAAATAATGTATATTGTGAATATTGTATGACATTAATATATTGCTTACTATAGTATATGTTATATGTATATATATATTTTGCATATTTTTAGTATACAAACGTCACATGCTTTTTGCATATTTATCGTGCATAATACTGTCGATATTATTACATTTACAACTTATAAAAGTCTTTTTGAACTACGATACGATACAAGTTTTAATAGATAATCGTTCCTGTTAAGGCTTGTAGATCTAGTCTGATTACCACCCTTTCAATGGCACTAAAAAGCATTCGAGACGCATGTGTCAATTGTAATGTTCAAAATAATTTATTGTTGGATACATTTAATACATTTTTTTCATCTGCAATTAATTACTCAATATTTTTTCATATCACGGGAAAATTTTGTCATTAATAAAGGTGGTGAAAAGTTTTTCATAATAAAGATGGTGAAAAATCAATGTAAATTACAAATGTTTGGTAATTAATCGTTCAATTTTATAAAGCATAGAAAATCTCAAAACTTCATTGCAACTGAATTGCTTTTATCAGAAAAAATATTGTTTGACACTTCTATTAAGATTTTCTGCAAACTTAGATAGTTTTTAAAAAAAAGTTCTAAGTTTAAAAAAAAACCCCAGTCATTACGATAATAATAATGTATAATAGTAGTTACATACCTCTAAAGCATCTATCATAAGATTCTTTAACTCATCGAGACATTTATTTATTCGAGCACGCCTTTTTCTTTCCAAAAGTGGTTTTGTTACCTATTTTGAACAAAATAACTACATTAATTATTGACCAAAGAGGAAAGCATATAAATCTAATTATTAAGTCATACATATATTTCGATCTAGTCTTCCAGCGAAAGCTTATGTTTTCACTGACAGTGAAGTCTTTTTCGAATGTTTAAATATTCCTGCAATTTCTAGTAAACAGAAATGCAATGGGCTGCATTTACTACATAACGGTCGCTTAAATAATTGAAGAGACGGGAAAACGATTGATTGCAATTTCAGATGAATATTTGAATGTCGAACCAATTGACAAGTATCACCGTTATTTGTAGAAACTGTTGAAGCATTCGAAGCAGCAAATAGAGTAGGGGGGATAAAATGGTTCTTGAGGTCAATTTTTTTAAAACATCAAAATCATGGATGTTTTTGTAGTGTTTAATTATTATAGTAGATGTTTAATAGTGTTTAATTAATATTATTAATATTATATAGTATAATATAATTGATATTATATAGTATTAATATTATATTGTTATTTGATAATACATCATGTTTCTTAAAGATACACTTTATTAAAATGAGCCCGCCGATTTACTAGGCTGAATCATGTGCAACTCTGTATGGTGGTTGTCTGCTTGCAGGCGTCATATGTGGTTCTGCCGAAGAAACAGATATTAAGGGTACATTCTAGTGTAAATGCTGTAAAAAACGGCTGTATGTAGTAATTTTGTAAAAGAAAACTATAACACATAGAGTTAACAATAAGTCTATGGTATAATATACAGGGTGAGTCACCTAACGTTTGCACCTCAAATATCCTTGTTGTTTTTAAAGATACGTCAAATGTCTTAAGAACAAAGTTGAATGGTTCTATGGGGCTCACACGATACCAAAAATTTTTTTGTTTTTATGTCATTTTTTTCAGAGATATCGAGGTCAGCTTCATTGTTTAAAAGAGATTCACCCTTTTTAAACACCTACAATGATAGTCCGTTTCATTAGGAATTCAGTGACTATAATTATTCAAGGTAATTCAAGGTCACGGAGAATGGTTCCATTTAAAAAAATGAACGTGACCTTGATATCTCTAAAAAAAATGACATACAAAGAAAAATAAATGTTGGCATCGTGTGAGCCCCGTTGAACCATGCAACTTTGTCCTTATGACATTTGACGTATCTTTAAAAATAACAAACATATTTGAGGTGTAAAACGTTACATGACTCCCCCTATATATATATACATATATATATACAATATATATAATATATAAATATATTAATACAGGGTTGACCATGAAACGTGATCAGTTTACATTATTCTACTGCTAGCTTCTACTGCTGATAGCTCGACCAAAATTTTAGCTAGCGCTAACATGATTCAAGAAAAGCTTTGAGATGATTGTACCAAATTTTTTGTCAACCCTGGTTACCATAGTTTTCCAGGTCACCTTCAGTTTTTGATAGATAAAACTATAATTTTTTTACGCCCATCTTTTTAGCGGATACTGAAACGAATTCGGTAAGCACCATAACAAATAATATTTTTCTTCTTCTAAACCAAAGAAATATTAAGAAAATATCATTCACCTTAATTAAAATGATGTTTAAAATGGTGTGCATCAGCTGCAATGCACTCGTGTAAACGGCGAGGAAACGACTGTTTAGTTCTATTTATGGCGTCCGCACTAATAGTTAAGCATGCAAACATATTTTCGATCGAACAGCTAGCAGTAGAATAATTTATGCTGATCAGGTTTTGTTGTCCACCTTGTATACATTTTAAGATATGAAAAACATTTTTTTTTGTTTTATTTTGTTTAATATATATTACAAAAACCAGCAATGATTGTGACATAAACAAAAACGGATGTCCAAACAGTGTAAGTATATAAAATCTTGAAATCCATTCATCTGAAGTGAAAAAATAAATGTATTTTTTAAAACTTATAATAACATAAGAAAAACTGTGGCATATCTTAAAATGTATATTAATAAACTCCAGACTAATTATTTAATCTATGTCTTATAGTTTTCTTTTACAGAAATCTTAAAAAAACCCGTTTATTTACAACGTTTACACCGGAATACATCCTTAACTCATTTTTGTTTCCAAAATTCGACTTATACATACTATTTTAAAAAGATGGCTTATATATAGAAAAATAATTAAAAATGTCCATCTCATGTTTCTGTATTGTATTATTTGAAAAAGTATTTATTGCGAAATGACTACAACATGTTTGGAACATATAAACAAGTCGCAAATTAATTTATTGAGAAACTTTCTGAAATAATTATTATTTTTGTGGGGATATAGTGCAGTTCCACAGTTTTCACATTTTGTATGCGTAAAGCCTTTGCATACAAGTCATTTAGGTACACTTCTCCTTTGAATATAGGATTGCTGGATAATGTTTAGTTTCAGACGTTACTGTTTTATGTTATTAATGCTTATCTGATTTTATCAAGGGGACACTAAATTGACAAGCTAATCAACAGCAACTTATGTACTCGATAGAACATTCCCAAATCGTTAGATTAAACGTAATGGCCGAAGATTTTCGCCAAAACGTTCACCCGATCTGACGCCATTAGACTTTCTTCTCGGAGAATAATTGGTCTTAGAATTTGATTACTTCTGGATGTACAAGGTTATCTGAAGGTCATAACTCAGGCATGCTCCAATGGATTTTGTCATCTGCTACACGGTACAATAAAAAGAAATGTATGCTTTCCTGCAAAAAAATACCGGTGACAAACACGTTTCGGTTTGAGCTTGAAAAACACGGAAACATAACCTTCAAAAATGTTATTCTTCCACGGCATTAACAGAAAGGAGATATTTACGTAGTTCCTTTCAGTTGGGACACCCTGTATAGCTGTTACGATGTACAATTGTTTACTGCATCAAACGATATGGTAGTTTATAATTACCATCTATTCTTTCCTCTCGTAAACATTTCGATAAAAGTTGCTAAAACATGTGCTTGTTAACGCACTCCGTGGTTTATTATGTCCAAATTTAACACACACTAAACACTTACAAAAATATTTGTGAAAAAAACAGGTCATTTATCCTAGATTAACTCCACCCAGGATTTTTAAAAAATTTTCTTGACCTCGTATAATAATTCCTTATAAAATTACAAGCAATTTTTTAACTCAACATTTTTTTCTATCTCCGTTAATTTTTATATTTAACATATACTTTTTCAACTTTTACTTTGAGGGTTACTCTCATTCTGTAAACAAGAATCTGGATAACTACAGAAAAATATGTGCCGAACATTGTTAATTCTCTATCAATGTGTCAAATTTGATCAACGTCTCTCCTAAGTGTTCAAATACTCATGGACAGGATTACTTACGCATGTCCATTGGCGTAACTAGGTGGGGGCCACGGTGGGCCTGGCCCCCCCCAGAATACGGACTGGCCTCTCCGTTCAGAAATGATTGAAATATGTAAGAAAAACATTCGCCAGTTGGTAAAATTTTATGTTATAAAAAATACATACTTGAGCCGAAATGCAGTACGTACCGCAAGTAGACAAAATACAGTACTATCCTCATTACGTTAAAGTATTAAGTAAAATTGTATTAGTATTAAGCTGTTTAATTTTTACATTCTACTTAACTAATAATCCTGCAACATCAATTGAAGAGTCGGATGCTATTAAGGGAACTAGCGCTAGAGAATATGAAAAATATTTTTGCAGAAAAAAAACCACAAATTGAAGCTTATATATGATACATTTTAATTATAGGTATCTGCATATAATATACTTTTAATTTTAATCAATCTCAAATTTCTTTTATTTTTAAAAATTATTTTTATATTCTTCTATTCGTAGTTTTACTGTTAAATAAATATGTAAATAATTATTGCAAAATGTGTGACTTTATTTTGTGCAACCCACGTATGTGGTATAAAATACGTACAGGTGCCTGGTGGGGAGTGTTATAGGCGAAAGTCAGGGTACCTGGCCCCCCCAGAAAAAAGTTCTAGTTACGCCAATGCGCATGTCCCCATGCGGAATGAACCTGTTAAATCGCAAAACGAAAAAAACTTTTTATTCTACTTTTACATATTAATTTACTTACCTTTTTGTACTGATGGGTCCTAGAAACAGGGTGAGGGTAATTAAATGACATCATTGTACACGTTGGGATCGTGGATGAAGACCAATGAACGGAGGTATATCGCACCTAATTATAAATATGTATACATATGAGTACTTTGAAACACATTACAATTAAAAGCATATTTAATTATGTTATGCAAGTATTTTACATAACTAGACTTCGAAAACTGGAGATGGAATTATGTTTTTGATTACAGGAATTCCTAAATTATTTTTACACCAATAGTTTACATACAGAGTGGGTATATGAAAGTAGCATATTGATTTATATCAAAATTATTATTTGTTGAAATTTTGAAACATTTCAATGATTTAAAGGTGACCTTTTTTCTCTCATTCTTTCGCGGTCGTATCAACTAAAAAACTTTATTAATAACGACAATGTTCAGTTATATCACACTTAGAAGTAGGTTTTGTTTCTTTGAAGAATTTGAGCATTAGCCATATTTTTCGTGAGTAAATGAGAATGGGTTATTTTTGTATTTCCAATCTACATTCAGAAAGTCGCTAAGTTTTTTTTCTACTTTAATAAGATCTTTTCAGTGCAAATAATGTTTATTTTATCTTACATTAATTAATTACACACGTCTGATAGAACGAGTTACTTTATTTGAGAGACATGATCTTTAACTTCAATTAATTTCATTCATGAAAAACTAGGCCATCGATCGTATTAGTGTATCAGCTGAGAATCAGCTGTTCAAGTAGTATGTATAACCCAACACATCGTACGTATTTCACCCGTATTTTCACCAATTAATAACTCGGAAACGAAACCTCGAACACAATTTCGTCATTCTTGATTTTCGGTTTAAATTTACATGTAGAACCCACCTTGTGACAGTGCCTCATTTTTTATTAACATCCTGCACGCTATACCAATAACAAAAAAAGTTCATATAAACATTTATCCGATATGACCTTGTTTTTGTGGTCCTATTGAAAATACATATGTTATGAAAGATTTATTATGTATTTCATTAAATTGTTATTAAGTTATGTCAAAAAATAATTGAAAGAAATTTTGTTTATTGTTTCCCTTTTGAAATAATTAAAAAATGTACTAAATATGAAATAAATCGGCTCACAGTCGTTAAAATGTAACGAAATATTGTTCGTTATAATCAAGCGTTTGTTAGGATTAAATGATATTTAATCTTACTTAGAATAAATTTCAATTTTTTTAAATTGATGTATTTTATTATATGTTGCATTACAACAATTTTGTGCCCTCCAGACATAAATCAATGTGACAATTTCAAGTTACTCAGTTCGTATGTAATGTAGCGATAGGTAAATATATTCTCTTAACTCATTTTTCTTATTTTTCTCCAAATTCCTGGCCCATTTTTACTAAACACAATGGCGGGAATGTACTTGAATTTAACTTACACTTGCCCATGAAATAAAATAAAGAAAAGCAATGGTACAAAATTATAATTATATTTGGAATCTTACTAATTGTTATTAACTTTGGTATTTCAGACGACTCAGATATATCTTCTTCTATCAGATAGATAAATCAGTTAGCTGTTTGAAAATTGTACATAAACAATTATTAATTAATTTCTTCATTTACATATTGTAATGTAAGTTGCGAAAAACTTTGACAATGCATTGATATGACATTTAAACATTATTGTAAGAATTTATGAATCAATTACTTCAATTGTTTTGGTAATTATAGTGTTAAAATTGTTTCCTTACATGAAGCGTTCAAGGTGAACAGCAATGTACACGGTAGAATAGGTATAAACAGTATTTAAAGATCGAGCAGAACTACAAACGAAATTTATGATTATTTATATTTTGCTTTGTATTTAAACAAAGTCAAATACATAATAGCAACTATAATAATAAATGCTTCACATTTCATAAGAATACTGTAATTTTTTTATTAATAATTAGTGTCTGCAATTACATGTAAGTTTTCTTTTCACTTCTCCAAATACACAATATAACTTGTTTACCATCATAGCAGTGATTGTTAATAATTGACAAAAACCTAATGTCTTTTTTAATTTGTAATTATATGATTTTTTATTTAAATCGTTTAGGAATATAAAATGGTAAATCAATTAGTTAAAAATAATTTAAGTACGGGATATTTTAAAACTGTTGACAGCAACATAATTAACCGACATTACTCTTAATAAAATTTTTAGTTTTCAACTTTACGAGGCAATTAATTTCTTATACAATTTAATGTTGCTTATGTATGTATATGTAGTTATACTATTAATATAAGAAAAACGGGTATATCTTTTCATGGTTATTTTTGTTTACTTTCGTTTTTCTGTTTACCTAGTCCTTCTACACGTACTACAGAATGCTTTTACTTACACAAGGAATGAATTTTTCCTATCCTCAACAGTTACTTTGAATTGATTTGCGATTATTCAAATGTAGAATCAGCAAGCATTTATTTTATTTAGACATGAAATTGTTAATTAAATAATCTAATTTATAAATATTACTTGATAGATTGTATAGAGGCATCGCCTAAGAAGTTTAGGCACACTTACCGAATTCGTATGCAAACAAAATAATGAAATTCAACACCTTCTTCCTAAAAAGTTTCATTCAATATATATTATATTGATATTTGTTATGCAAATACACACAGGCCAAGGAAAATCAAGCACTAACACGATAATAACGCAAGTACGAGTTTAACCTTCTAACCGGTACGTGTACGTAAACTTTTGGATCGCTAATCTATATGTCAACAAAATAACCAACATACAAATGTAAATAATCTCAAGCACAAATAAGTATGAAATTAAAAAAATATAACATCGTCTTAAACGACATTTAATCTATTGTTTAATGTTTGGATATATTTTCTTACGTACTTCAATAAATGTGTAATTTTAAATATCAAATTAAACATGTCATATTAATAACCCGTAAGTGAATTCCATATACATATAAAACGAAAATTATTGAGCAATCAACACATTTCACACTTTTTATCCGTAAAAAAATAGTATTCAATTTCGTCCCTTACACGTTAATGCATTTTCACAATAAGAAACCGTTCACAGCAATAGAAGAGGTTACATCCGTGCACGTTACTTAATAGTCAGCGTTGGGGAAACATCGTAAACACTTTTCATAAATGTCAAGAGCGGACGACGGCGTATCAGGCGTGAGAATACAGAGCAGAATTCACTGACATTACACAAGCAAATGCACGCGTTGAAGTCTCTAGCCAAACTGACTCGCCACTACCATTCAAGCCGCGGCTACCCTCACCAACTTCGAACCCTCTACCGAAGCAACGGCTCTGGCAGATCTCTCTAAACGTTTTGAATGTGTTGCACATACAGTAGGCGACAAAAGGTATCGTACATCCTTTAAAACAGAACAACTTTTTTCAAATTGGTCCAACTGACTTGAGTTCTTTTGTGAAGTTAGGGACATTAGTTTACTGAATGATGTGTAAAAAAAATTGGAAAATATGCAATTGGTCCGAATCGCGAAGAAAATAGTTAAGTTCGCTTTTTGTGACTTTTTTATCCGAGATTGTAATGAAAATTTAACAAATACATTGCTTAGATTTATGTTAGTTATATGCATGCTGAAAATTTCATCGAAATCGGTTAACGTTGTTATCAGATACAAACGATTAAAAATGTTGAAAATCGCAGTTTTTCGCGACTTTTGACCCACAACTGTAGTATATTTAAAGATTCTTACATCTTTCGATGCCTGTTACTCGTTTCTGTATTACCCGATTTCAATAAAAGTTACAGCATGTATATAAAATTACAATAAAAAACGACATTTACTATTATCTTCGACATTCTGAAAAGTCGCAAATTTTTCAAAAATTTTTTAACACATCATTTAGTAAACTAATCTTTCCAACTTCGCAAAGAAGCTCAAGTCACTTGGTCCAATTTTGAAAGAGTTGTTCTGTTTTAAAGGGTGTACGAATACTTTTTTACCCACTGTATGGACTGGCCGAGAGTCGTTTCTACCCACAAGGGTGTTTTCAAAAACGAGCCATAGAGTTAGGAAGGATGATTCAATTAGCAGATATTTACGTGACAATTCGATAGAATTACAGAGAGCCCTTTATAATGACTGAAGGACTTTGTGCCTTTATCGTCGAGTTTCTGGCCAATTCTCTTCGATGCTTGATAATCTGGCAGACGAATCCCTTCATTAACATTATCTCTTGTCAACCAGATGAAGCAACGTAAACTACGCAGACGCAGCTAGCCGACTGTCGGCTGAAGTAACTCGTTCCAGCTGCTTGAGAGAGTGTTAAAAAAAAAAGAGATAAAATTTGTTCACAGTTTAACGGCCTTTCTGGTACCTTTCAATACATTGGAATGAGCCCGATTGTGCTTTTCTTCATTCACTTTTTCTTTGCCAGTTCTTACATTTAAGACCATCACTCAGCAGATAACAATTTCTTTTCTGTGAAGTTTAATGAATATTCAGTAATTAATGAATATGAGTGCTTAGGTAATGGTTGTGTCAAAATAATATGATATTTATGTATGAAATATGTAAAAAAAACTATGAGCTTCCAAAATTAAATATTGTTATTAATATCAAAAACACAAAAATACCTACTGTAACATAACGAAAATAATTTTTTAAGTCATACATTAACTCTCTGCTCGATGCTGCTCAAGTGACTGGACAAGCGTCCAACGACTACGCAATCAGCATTCTCATGTACCAATGAATAATCTCGGTAATTTCGACACTAAAAGAAAAAGATTTTATTAAAACAAAGTGAGTATCAATTCTGGAGACCTTAATAAGTTCAAGAAACCGTTACTTAATAGAAAGACACGAATTATTTATTATTTACGAGCTTGAGAAATGCGCTCCCAATGTTAGCGAAACATTTACGAAGGCATTCATGTCGCCTCAAGTTCATGATTGCTATATGATAATATTTTTTTTAAATAATACATACCGCTTTTGTGAACATTTTTATATGATTTATGACAAGGAATAACCGAGGGGAATTATTTTCTATCCTGAAGTTCGCTATTATTTTTAAAAAGTTTAATATTAACAAAAATTCACGATAGTGTCCAATCACCAGGACGTGTCCAACCATTGGGACATTTACCTTACGGCGTAAAGCCTAATATTACGCTACCGACAGTCAATATGATAATAAAATCAATTTAATGAAAATAATTCCGTTTAAATTGGAATGCTCTAATACAAGTTCAATGAGTTTTATATCGAAAACAGCGTAAAAACAACCACTCATTATATTCCACCAATTACACTGTTTAACAAATTTGAACTTTTTTTTCGTTGTGTCACCTCTAATAAGCGTTTCTGATAGATCTTTATGAGCTGAATACGAATCTGCAAACCGTTTCTTTGCAGCACGTCCAGTTTCTGAAAAAATCAATTTTTAAGAAATTGCAAATTTTCAACTTTAGAACTGTGTTGTGCTTTTACAGTAATAGTTATGCACTTTCTTTTGACACGAAATAATTCTCTGGACCCTTCCAAACAAAATAATATAAATTATTATTATATTATAAACATCTAAATATATTTAAATAATGTTTAAAGTCGAAAGATTTAAAAAACAGATTTATAACTTTCCTTGATACTATCCTAAACAGAAAGGTCTGCTCTATCACGTGCTATGGTTAGATTTTCTCCTAGACCTTTAGTTTTTGAAATAAATTAAAGAATATCAGCAAATTTGGTGCGTTTTCCGTGTCCTTTCGACTTTAAACATTATTTAAATATATTTAGATGTTTATAATATAATAATAATTTATATCATTTTGTTCGGAAAAATCCAGAGAATTATTTCGTGGCAAAAGAAATTGCATAACTATTACTCTAAAAGCACAACACAGTTTCAAAGTTGAAAATTTGCAATTCTTTAAAAAATTGATTTTTTCAAAAACTGGACGTGCTGAAAAAAACGGTTTGCAGATTTGTATTCAGCTCATAAAGGTCTATCAGAAACGTTTATTGAAAAGTGCAAAAATTTTAGGTGTTGAATAGTGTAATTATTACGCTTTCTTCTGCTGGGTCTCACAGATCTCGTATGACTTATCGCGGTATGCCGTGAAATACCAGGAAAGGAAACAATAATTACTGATGTCATCGGTCATCAAAAGATCGTGCAGTATCGTTTCGCTGTTATCCCGGCTGTTTATCGTCTGTGCCACTACGCAGACCGTTATCGCACAGCTTAACGTTCCACTCCGTGGTTGCAGCGTGCGAATGTTTATGACTCGTGACCAATCCTTGATGCTTTGGTTCCATCAATGGAGCTTAGCAGACACGTTCGTTGGTCAGGGTTATTAAGTGACGCTACGCATTCATATTCCATTAATAAACACACCGCTGACTGCGATTACATACAGGGTGTTTCGTTTAACTGAAAACGGTGGAATATCTCACGAAGGATTGAAGTTATCAAAAAAATATTCGTATAAAAGTTGTTTGGTAGAAAGGGGGACATTACGTGGTATAAATAATTTTTCTGTAAGTGTAGTAGTGGAGGAGATATCAACGTCAAGTTAATTTTTTTAAACGGAATTCTGTATTTTTTTATTCATATTATGATAGTGTTTGTTGAGACGAATGCAACGAACTGCCACATGATATCATTACGAGTTGTAGAATATCATAAATTAAATACAAAGTAGTCAGATCAACACGGATCGTATGTTGTCGGTTAGCTGAACTCTACGTGACTGTGCCATCTACTCGTACCAGACCGATTGTTCCGTTTTTAATCAAATATTTCTGGTATGGAAACAACACCAATATTGTAGCAAATATGAGGAATTAAGCATAAATAATGGATTTTAAATTTCATTTACCACTATCTAACTTGTAGTATCAAGAATTAATTAATAATTTTTTACGTCATTTATCCTTCAACATGCCCACCATTGTTAAAAATACACGTTCCTATTCTGTTTAAAAATTCTCTTTCGACACTTTTCGACATCTTGTCCGTTATTCTTTCGCATGCGACTATAATCCTGTTTCGTAAATAATCGATATTTTCAATCGATGTTTGGCAAACCGACTGCTTTAGATACCTCCATAGGAAAAAGTCACATGAAGAAAGATCTGACAATCTTGGTGGCTATGTAACTGGAAATTCGTTATTTGTTATTCGTTATTCGGTATTCATTATTCAAAGTATAGGTATAACTCCGCTACGAATAAATGTTAAAAATAAGCGGCACCGCTTTACGTCTGTGAACAGGATACGATTGTATATAACATTTAGTTTGAATGATAGCATTTGAGTTTAGATTTAGTATGTTTGTCAATTGCATGTATGTAGACTACATTTGTACCAAAGTATTATCAAAGCATGTAAACCAGAATAATCACGATATTTATCGACTTTTTCACTTAAATCGTTTTTCTCGTAAAATCCTAAAGGGGTAGACATATTCGGCACCCAGATTTGAATTCAGCTTATCGAAATCTATAGGAAATGTTGTATAACAAGTCATGGAAAAACTTCAACCACTTATTATAATGCAGAAACAGCAAATTTTTTCAAAAGTGTCAAGTTTAATATAGATTTCCAAGGTCAAAACTTGCATGTAATACTTTTTCGTATTTTTCTCTGATTCTGTACTCTCTTAGATTTAACCTCGAAAAAGATTCATCCCTCTATTTTATTTCTATTAAAAGTTCTACTATTTTGACTAAAACATGAGCAGCTTGTTCCACTGCCCACCGTGGCTCGCTTACCTGAAACGGGGGTACACCAGTCACTTCTACAGCTCCTTGTGAGGCTAATTTTAATTGCTCCATCTTTCTGAAGAGCGCATTTTGTAGGTAAGATTTCAAGGAATATGACCATATGTTTTCTTAAATTTAAACACACCTTGCCCCTCACAGAGGAAATTACGAACAAAGAATTTATTTATAATTTTTATTATTAAAAAATCAATTTTTCATATAACACAAAACTTATTATAGTAAGACAATCCTTCTAGATTAAAATAATCGAAGTACGAACTCGATACGATAAATAGTTCCCGAGATATAAATTCTTAAATACATCGTTGTTTCATGAAAATAGGCAAAAATCGTACAGTTCAGAGGCTTGTATTTTTTAAACAAATTCGGGAACAAAAAATTGATGACTTAAACCCCTTCTAATTTTATGTGGACTACAACATATTT